GATACAACAATCTGCTAGTACTGCCCCTCAATAGTCAGGGTTCCAGTCTTCGTGATCAGATACTCGTTGACAGCCACCTCTTTCCCACTCTCCTTGCCGTATCCCGACTCCTTGATGCCGCCAAACGGCGACTCCGCTGCCGATGCGTTGCCCGTGTTCATGCCAATCATGCCCGCCTCAAGATTCTCCAACATCCGCCACATACGGTCAATATTCTTGGTGAACGCGTAGCTGGCCAGTCCCATGCTTGTATTGTTGGCGAGGCGCACGGCCTCCTCCTCCGTCTCAAACCGGTACAGCGCCGCAATGGGCGCAAACGTCTCCTCGCGCGACACCAGCATCTCCTCCCTCATCCCCGTCAGGATGGTCGGCTGGAAGAAGTACCCTTGCTGCCCAGGGATCGGCCCGCCGCCGAGGATCACGTCTGCGCCTAGCCGGCGCGCATCCTCAACCTGCGCCTGCGCCTTGTCCAAGCCCCGCGGTGTCGTGACGGGGCCCATGGTGGTGCCCTCGTGCGCGCCGTGGCCGACGACCAACTTCTCCGTGCGTTCCTTCAGCATCTGTGCGAATTTATCGTAGATCCCCGCCTGCACGTATACACGGTTGGCGGTGATGCATGCCTGGCCTGCATGCCGCCATTTCAGCGCCATCAGCTGGTCCAGCGCCTGGTCGAGGTTCGCATCGTCGAACACGATGAAGGGGCAGTTTCCGCCGAGCTCGAGGGTCACCTTCTTCAGCCCMTCGGCGCAGTGCGCAGCGATCAGCTTGCCGACGCGCGTGGATCCCGTAAAAGTCACCTTTTTGACGAGCGGATGTTTGCAAAGCGCCTCGCTGAGCGGCGGCGTGTTTTCCAGGTCGGTGGTCAGTACATTGAACACACCTGCTGGGAAACCCGCGCGTTGCGCTAGGTGCGCCAGCACGAGCGTTGTGATGGGAGTTTCCGGGCTAGGTTTGACGATCATCGTACAGCCGGCTGCGAAGGCGGCGCCTGCTTTGCGCAGGACCATGGCAATGGGGAAGTTCCAGGGGACCAGGGCGGCGGCCACACCGATGGGCTGCTTGACCGTGAAGACGCGCCGGTTGGGCGCCGAGGGTACGCTGACCGTGCCGTGGATGCGCTCCGCCTCACCAGCAAACCACCAGGTGAAGCCCGTGGCGTAGTCGATCTCCCCGTACGATTCGGCGAGGGGTTTCCCCGTCTCGTGAGTGAGGATCTGGGCAAGGTCGGACCGCGCCTCCCGGATGAGAGCGTCCCATTTCATGAGCCATTGGGCACGCTGCCGGGGGTTGGTCTTCTTGTAGGTTTCGAACGCGGCGTGGGCGGCCTGGACAGCGGGACTCACGTCTTCCACGCCATTAACAGGGCAACTGGCCCAGGGTGTGCCAGTACCGGGGTCTATACTGATGTTACTGTAGGTTCAATAAGAGGATAACAGTCTGTTCCTACCAATGACTTCGAATCGGTTCCCACTCTTGGCCTGAACCCATTCGTCTCCGACAAAGGAGTCGAAATGGAGAAGACTGGGATCTTCAAGCTGAACAAAGTTAGCCATTGCAAGCTGATTTGATATTGCCGCATACCTTGAATGGCAACTTATACGTCTTGGCCATTTTCGATATCTTACCTATTTGGTGCAGAAGGAGGTGAGTTGAAAAGATCAGCGATGAGGGGCTCGGTGCGACTTTTATCACCAGAAACACTCCTTGACCCCGCACTTATCGGCAGTGACTCGGCTGTGATCCTGTGTAGCCATTTTATCATGCAGACATTGTAGTATTGCAGTTAGATAGAGTCCTTTCGGCTGGGTAGATGCTGCCAGAGCCCTTACGGCCTAGCAAAGCAGGGAATGTCGCAGACGGCAATTATGATGGGGACGGAGAGGACGACAAAAGTCGGTGAAGTGGTTGAGCGCTGCAGTGGTGACATAGAAGGCTCTCTCCTCACTCGATAGAGGTCTTCTACACATATACAATTAAACTGTACTGGAAGACATCGAAGAAGAGGACAGCGAGGAACAGAAACTGTGATATTTATCTCATTTACTCCGGAGTTTACCAAATGCTTAAAGTGGAGCATTAAAGCTTTGGCTTGTGGCCTGAGGCATGAAGCGCATCACCATCGACCAAAAGGGTCGGGAAACAACTTCATCTCTTCTCGACTTCTACGCACCTCTTTAATATCTATCTATCTATCTGCTAGCGAATCTACATTCCTGCTGCCTGTCAAAATCAATAACCTGACTCGAGCATTGATCTCACTGGTCAATTTCTGAACTAGTCCAGCCATGCTGCACACTACTGCTGACCGGACTCTCCCTACTCGGAATCCATTCCATAGTGATGGCTGACACGGCATAGATACTCTATGCGGAGTTTATCCGGTGTGCCTAAACACTCTTTGTCGAATGGTTGAGCATCATTTCCATGTTTAAATACCAGCCTTTCATCCCTGTCTTGGTCAGCGGTGGCTGACCGTCCGTTCATTCACTCCAAACGATGGCTCCGCGTCAGCCGTTCTCCCTCAGGGCCATCCTCGTTGTGGGTCTTGCCCTCCGCAACTTCTGTACGGCCGAATCCAATGCCACGCTTGTCGCTGCTCAGTCCGTGTCCTCCAACTCGACGACTGCTGGGGCGTCTCTCTTCCCCGCAGAGACTCTGCAGCTGACGGACGCAGTGCTGGCCAACATCGGCTCCACCATTCAAAACCAGACCCAGCTCTTTGCGTTTGGTAACACTGCTTCAGTCTCGGCTAATCTGACTGCTCGCGGTGTCAAGTTCTGCAAGGTCTTCCCAGACGATAATCTATGGCCCTCCAAGTGGACCTGGGAGCTGTTTGACCTGCTTCTGGGCGGTGCACTTGTCAAGACCGTCCCTCTGGCTGCTCCTTGTTATTCCTCGTGGCCCGAGTACGATGCGGCGGAATGTGAGGCTGTCACGTCGCATTGGACCAACTCGTACATGCAGTAAGTTCTGTCGTTCCATCAACAAGGATTCCTGGCTGATTGGGCAGTGCTGCTGATCCCGCATCGATTATGTGGCCATTGTACGAGGGCAGAACCTGTCTGCCTACTGACGACCCCTCTGGCAACTGCACAGTCGGTGGCTACAGCAGCTACGCGGTCAATGTGAGCAACGTGGCTCAGATCCAGCTGGCTGTCAACTTTGCGCGCAACACCGGCATCCGTCTGGTCGTCAAGAACACCGGCCACGACTTCAACGGCAAGTCCACCGGTGCCGGTGCGCTGGGCATCTGGACCCACAACCTCAAGGATATTGAGTACATTGAGAACTACAAAAGCTCTCGATACAGCGGTCCCGCTGTCAAGATGGGGGCCGGGGTTCAGGCGTTTGAGATCTACAGCAAGGCTAAGAAATTCGGGTTCACTGCCGTTGGTGGCGAAGGCAAAGTAAGCTCGTTCGTGGCTCCCTGTGACTCGTCATTGACAGGACTATAGACTGTTGGCGTGGCCGGTGGGTACGTCCTCGGTGGTGGTCACTCCCCCATGTCCAGCATCTACGGCTTGGCTGCGGACCAAGTCCTGGCCCTCGAGGTGGTTCTTGCCAATGGTCGCTTCGTCACCGTGACCGAGGAGACTGATCCCGACCTGTTCTGGGCTTTGCGTGGAGGTGGTGGAGGTACGTCCTGTCCCGGCTCTCGGAAGAGTCCCCAATACTAACGTGGTAGGCACCTATGGTGTGGTCACCTCGATCATTTCGCGCGTCCACCCCACAGTCGGCGCCACCGTGTCGACCGGTTCCTTCTCGACTGGCACTAACGTCTCCGTGGACGCCTTCTGGGCGGGCGTGCGCGCCTACTTTGACCGGTTAGCCGTCAACGCTGACGCAGGCACCTACGCCTATTTCTGGGTCATGGCCACGGGGACTGACTCCTTCATGTTCCTGATGAACCCCTACTTCGCTGTCAACCACACCGTCGCGGAGTTCAACGCTCTTATGAAGCCCTGGTACAACACGCTCGAGGAGCTCGGTATCACCTATGCCCCCAATTCGACCTACTACGACAACTTCTACGACGCCTGGCAAGCCGGCTTCCCCCTGGAGACGGTCGCCTCGTCGACGATGATGACCGGCTCGCGGCTGTTCCCCCGTGCGAACTGGGAGAACGCCACTCTCCTCAACACCACCTTTGAAACGCTCAAGTCCACTGTCGAGGCCGGATATCCCATGCTCGCCTTCAACCTCAAGGCCGAGCTGCCGGACGGCTACCCGGCCAGCTCTGCGAACCCTGCCTTCCGCAAAACCCTCCTGCACGCCATCACCTCGACCAGCTGGGCCAGCAATGCCACCAACGCGGAGATTCTGGATACCATGAACTACTTCAGCAACCATGTGCTGGGACAATGGCGAGCTACCTGCCCTAATGCAGGCGCCTACATGTCGGAGGCGGATATCCTCGAGCCAAACTTCCAACAGGCGTTCTATGGCGAGAACTATGCGCGGCTGTATACGCTGAAGCAGCGGTATGATCCGTTTGGATTGTTTTATGCCCCGACTGCTGTGGGTAGTGAGGACTGGATTGTGGAGAGTGAGGATGGGCTGCCAGATCAGAATGGTCGGTTATGCCGGGTTTAACCGCAGCATGGGTATATTAGGTATATTATCCAGACTGTATTATACATACGATAGACTGTAAATAAGTTGGTCGTCTGATATTCCGTCTTCATATCCGATCTCACTCAACTCTGAGCGGGATAATCAAGACGGACCAGCCATCCTGATCCTCATTCGGTCCGATCAACGAACCACCGCATCACCATCACAAACAATGCGACCTCCATCACAAGTCAAGAATTTGGTGAATCTGCCCACATTCGAGCAGCGTCGCCCTCAGCAAAACCAGTCGCATCAGGGCAGCGCACCACTCTCCCTCGTAGAGACAGCGAGAAGAACTGAGACGCATCTACAAGCTTCTCCATCTTTCCGTTCAGGTACCGTCACCGGATCAGATCAAAACTCAAGACGATTGAATTGAACTGTCATCAACGCTTCCGCTCCGCAATCCACCATCCTCTCTCCAGTACAGCCCTCTTCTCTCTCTCCCTCCTCGCCTGCATCAGACATTGCCGCTCCCGGCCCAGAAACCGGCGCCTGTCGCGCCCGCGCTCGGGATACGCCTCGACGGTCCAGGAGCGGGCGATGCGCTCTGCGATGGCCAGGATGCAGAGGGTAATGGGGAGGAGGGAGAAGAGCGCGAGGGCGAGGAGCTCGGGGGCGTATTGCGAGAGGGTGTGGGCGCAGAGGTGGGAGGTGTGGAGGGTGTGGATGTACGCTTGGAGGATTTTGTCGGCTGGTTGGTTGGTCTCGTTGTTGTGGTGGTGGTCGTTGGGCTTGAGCTTGAGCTTGAGCTTGAGCTTGTGGAGGTTGAGGTTGAGGTTGATGAATGACCCGTGGGAAATAGAGCTAGGTTGGATTTGTGATTGTTTTTCATCTGAGTGGTTTTGTGCGAGGATTGTCTGTTGCTGCTGTTGTTGGTGATATTCAGGGTGTTGGAGTTGGTGTTGCAGCTTGTATACTTCGGTGCCTTCGACGGGAATGGCGATTGGTAGCCCCAGGCTTAGGGGGAGGAGAAGGTAGACGAGTCTCATCGTTGCAGCGTGGTTGCTGGAGAGAGAGATGCATATGCCATCCTGCTTGCCTTGAGGTCCATGTCCTCTTAAATTGCTTAAAGCGATAGCAGGAGTGCTGCTGGTCTCTGCATCATTGATGTTTGCGGATGGAATGGCGGCCACCATCCCGACCCCGTGCCGCGTCCCGTCTCCGGATTGGTCAATTCTTTCTCTACCTGCTTCGAACATACGACGACGGCTGCTTCTACGGACTATCTATCTACCTACTATGGACAGAGATCAATACGATTTAACGCGCAATCAGATTCTAAAGGTATTAACCCTTGAAACATGGCTATACCCCTTCTCCCAAAGTATGAAGTACCGACTATTGCCCAAGGCCCTTCTGCATCTCCTTCAGATGCTCCCAGTTCAGAGTATCCTCACCCAGGCTCCAAGCCATGACACCACCCACCTTCTCCGCTGTCACAATGTCCTTGAACTTGCGATCGATTATCTCAGGAGTATCCCAGGTCCAGAAAATATTGGCCGTGCTGTCCCAGTAGTACTGTCCGCCTGCCTGCTCATCCGTCTTGCCGTCCTTGACAGCGCGGCGCCAGGAATCGGTAACGGATATGCCCTTGCACTCGCCATAGTCGGAGAGACAGCCTGCCTGGCAGAAGTCGTCGCCGGTGCCGCTGTTCGAATTAGTCAAGCCCAGAAGCGTCTTGGTAGAGTTGAGTAGGGAAAAAACATACCAGTTTCCATACTGACTGCAGCACGAACCAGACGGACACTTGGTCCCCTTGGCATAACCACAGGTTCCATCCGTGGAAGTCTTCAGATTATCCGGGGGAGACGCCATGTTGCCCTTCTCGAAGGTCAGGGCGCCAGATTTGCCCGTGTCCGATCCATCGGGGTTCTCTAGCGTCACGACGGCACATCCGATCGGGTGCTCGGCGCAGTCGCTGTTCGGATCAGTCGTGAACCACTTGGCATAGTACGCGAATCCCAGGTTCATCTTCGCCGTGTCGAGACCGATCTCCTTGTACGCCTTGATGGTATCCAGGGAGCCGGCCACGCTGGTGTGGTGGTTTGTGACGTTGTCGCGGCGGTTCATCAAGTCGTACGACATGACGTTGACCATGTCGACAGACGACCAGATCTTGGGTCCTTGCTCCTTTGTGAAAGCAATCATGTCGCCGCGTTTGCCGGGGACTGCGACGGACAGGAGCTTGTCCTTTCCAATGGCGTCGCGGATAGCCTCCAGGAAGAGCGGATACGCCTCGATCTCGCCGGTTTTCTGGGAGTTGGGGACTTTCCTATAGTCCTCGCCGTTGCCGCCGGGGTATTCCCAGTCGATATCTACCGTCGCCTAGTGTGAGCACTGCATATGCCTTTGATGTGGGTGGTTCATCCCGCAACTTTTGACTTACCAACACCATCGAAGCCCAGATTGTTGAGCATCGTTGCGACATTCTTCGCATACCGGGTTCGAGACGCTTCGTCTTTAGCCCCGTCGGAGAAGCCAGAGGTATCGCCCCATCCACCAATGGCAATCATGACCTTGGTGTCGGGTCCGAAGCGCTTACGCATCGTCTCGACAGTCTCAAAGGGAGTGAACGAGGAGTCGGTGTTGAACTGCTTAGATGGGGCGAAAGCCATGATGGCGTGGGTGATGGCCTGAGTCTGGTCGCTACCTGGGAGATCAACAGTGTGGTACCTGAATTATTAGTCTCGTCGCGTCAATCTCTTCCTGCGTTGATTGCAGGAAGTCTAGGTAGGCCTCTTACTGATCGATGTACATGGCAAATCTCGAGCCCATGGCGGCCTGGACAGCCATCAGGCTGAACACGAGGGATTTGAGCATCTTGTATTGAGCGAGTTGGGACGGAAAGTGCTTGACGAAAAGAGTGTCAAAGAGGAAGAAAGACGACAAGCAGAAGCCCACCGAGCAGACTAAAGATGGACAAATCAGCCCGAGACAAACCACGCAAGTTCGACGGCTCTGAGTTGTGCCAACTTTGGCAAAATCCTTCAGGGTGAAATATCAAAGAGAAGAAAGAGATGCATAACTCGTGAGAGCTAGTTATATCCTGAAGCTAATAGTCAAGCGGCCCCTTCACAGTGGCTTTGCTGGCTTCGCCCCATCAGCAATCACACATAGTAACAACATAATAAACATTCCCAGCCCCAGCATGATACAGTGGAGAAGCAGAATGCCTCCTAGGGCATCCGTCCCCAATGCAAGTTATTCAAATATGCTTCACCATTAGAAATATCTGATGTCAGATGCAAAGCTGAAGCATACAATGAAACAAAACATGATGAGACGCTCCAGCCCCAAAGCAATGATAGCAATCATCTTTGACCTCCCTTTGAAGCAAGAATGCTGCTGAGATCGAATCCGGATATTGTTGCTTCCACTGCTGTCCAGATGGATTTCTTCTCAAAACAGTAGCCTCCGCCTCTGGTATGCTTGTCAGCACATTCCTGGGGTTGCGGTATTCGACGCGCAAGACGGGAGAACAGTGCGCCGAGCATGAGACCACGAGGCATTACAAATTATTGTCCAAGTTTCTGCGCTACAGAAGAACTGGCTTGTGAAGCCTGTCACGAGATTATGGTCCTTACGGAGTATTAGGTACTAAATATAAACGTCAAGTAGAACACCAAATGGGTATCGTATCTGGGGCCGGAACACCACAACAAGCTCAAAGTAGAATATCACAAAGTAGATTGACTCATAGACAACGGGCTCAAGGCCAGTTCCCAAAAGCCCGCAGTCTGGCATTGAGCTAATCCCACTGCCGCCGGATAATCGGCCGCGCTGGGTCCCAAGGCCCTGTCACCACGTTCTTGTACTTCTGAAGACTGATGAGCCACCAGCTACATCCCCCCATGGCAAAAGCCGTCATAATACTTCCTAAGAACGACCCGACCACCGCGGCGGTCCACCCTCCTCGCAAGGTCATTCCGACGGCACCCCCGGCCACAATGACCAGCGCCAGCGTCAGGAGGACATGGCCCGTCCAGGAGGTGTGCCGTAGTTGCCGGCGGAAGATCGGGAACAGTCCAAAGACTTCAATTGAGAACAACATCAGACTGAAGACATGGGTTGTAGACGGCAGACGAGACGCGAGGACGGTCGATGCCATCACAGCCGCATTAGTGGACAGCGAAGCCGGGAATTTGGTGGCGCCCGCGCCTTCCCCACTTCCATAGTCAAAGGAGAATATATTCATGAACAACAGCCAGCAACTCATCGCCCAAATTGAGTCGCTGGCGGTCGACTTGGTGAGAGATTTCAGGATCGGGCTGAGCCCCAGCAGAGAAAAGTAGATCAGGAACGCCGACTTCACAGTCGAGAGCCGTTGGCGATTCCTCGACGAAAGTAGCAAAGTCTCGTCGGTGACCTGGGAGCCATGGTATAACTGCGTATTGCTGGGGCCACCATTGGCCTGAGGACCAGGCGAGCCAGGATCAGACGGGCCATAAGCCTCACCACTGAATCCTGTGCTACGTCGCCGCAGCAATTCGCCAGGTTCACCGCTCGACATGGTCAGTCCCAGCCCGTGAACCTCGTTCTCTCCATCCTTCGGCCCAACCGGTCGCGATGCAGCCCCCGACGACGGATTGACCGAGCTCGCTGCTGAGCTCGAACTAGAGCCATCGTCCCCGTCCGGAATTCGCTCCGCATTCTGAGTCTGTTCGGCATGATGCTCTCTCCAAACCCAAGAATCCCAAAGGATCCACCCCATAGCCGTTCCAACACTGCCCCAGCAGACGACAGACACAGGGCTCACTCTCTCCTGGACAATCCCAACAAAACAGCACACGAAGATCGCCACCGAGGAGACATGCTGAACAATCACTGTCGAGTCAGCCACTAGAGGCCAGAAGTCGTAGGGGCGCACGCGCGGGTTGCGCTGGAGATGGTCAAGAAAGGTTTCGGTGTCGGTATAGTTGTCCGGATCTGTGGCCATGCCCGTCAGCATCTTCAGTTTTCTGGCAACTGGATTTTACACCCATAAATTTTCTGGTCAAGACTTACATGACTGCTTCACCCAGAGTAACTTCTTCCATGCCCCTTTTCGTCTCCTCCGTCTGCTCGGGCCCCTCACTTTGCGCTCTTTTAGACCGTCCGCGCCCGGAAAGGCGGGCTGCTGTCGCAAAGCAGCAGCGTTGCCATTCAGCGCTCGGAGTGAGTCATCGTAGTTTGCATTCGCAGTCCGACCTCTTAGATGGGCCGAGGAGAAATAGGCGTCTTCTGGAGCGAGCCGTGTAGGGTCTGGAAGCGCCCGGTGCTCTTGTGGAGGCTTCAAGCTGCTTGTTCGGTTGGGGTGAGTCTCAACGGGGACGGGCGGAGGGATAGGGGGAGGTGAGCCGGGTGGAGGAGGCATCGAGCAGACGCTGAATTCATGCTTGGAGCATGGTTAGCAGCAGTTTCTTTGAAGGAAAAGCTCGCTCGGTCTTCAGGGGACCGAAACGGACGCCAAACTGACCGGAACGCGCAAGCCCACGTGGTTAATTAGTCATTCTGCCATCAACTGCAACCTTAGTCCCAGCGCCTATCTCCAATAGAGAGACGAATACTTTTTCCACAAGTGCAAATTCTCTGGCCCCCTAGAACGATTGATATGAGTTATTCAATGATTTTGGCCTGATGTACATTCGGCATTTATGAATTTGTGAAATAGTATTATGTACTTCGAAGCATTGGCTAGAAGATACTTGAAGAAAAACTAATTGATATGCGAGGTGATCTCGACGCGCCCATTCCTTGGTCGTCGAGAAACTTGGACAACCGATGACCTGATGCGATGGGACACAAATGAGTTCTAAGGCCTCCTCAAGGTTCTAGAACATGGTTCACTTCAATGGTAACTGTTCCATCTTCTGTGCTCTTGCCGTCCTTGGCGTGTTTAATGAGAAGCTCAAACTCACCCTCGCTGCCGAAAAGAAAATGTTGCGCCCGCTCAGACGATACCTGGCACGAAAGAATCTTGACGTCGACATTTTTGTCGAATAGTCGGAAAAATGTCCGTGCCTTGTCGAAAAGATCTCTCCCGGTCTTGCATTCGTCTAGGGGAAAGGCACGAATAGCGCCCGACCTGTAGGAGACAAGCTTGAAAGTCACCTTGGCCGGGTTGGTTGCTTTGACCGGGTCGGTCGCCTTGCGAGTTCTCACTAGGGTAGTAGATGTTTGTTGTTGGAGCCTGCGCCTCTTGGCAATTGGTACAGTGACGTTTTCCTCTTCGTCCTCTTCGGACGATGATGAAGCGTCCGAGGATTCTTCTGCCGATGAGTCTGTTTCATCAGATGACTCTGAAGCATCCCCAGAGTTCGAACTGCTGGTCGCGACCTCGCGCTTGGGGCGGCTCACCCTCTTCCTCATTTCCGGCTCCTTTTCTCGTTCCCGCTCTTGTCCCCGGTTCCGTATGCGCGGCTGAGATGGAGCCGTGGCTACTGGCAGGGGCCTCTTCTTGATACCCTCACCCTCTTTGTCCAGATCGGGGATTGTGACCTTCCAGACATCCTGAGAGTAGGCGATCTTCTCCGGCTTCGGAGCAAAAACACGAATGGCACAGCATTTGGCCTCGAATCCTTTGGTCACACCCTGCCACGCGATCAGGAAACTTCCGTGCTTCGTCCAGTGCGGCCAACGGCTTCTGACCAGCTTCTGCGGGAAGTCAGGCGAATGCAGCACGAGGACCGAGTACGCGCACGGAGAGAGGATCTCGAATTTTGAAAGTTCCAACTCCTTGCCCTCCCGGTCAAAGACCTTCCACTTGTACGTTCCTTTGTTGTTTGCATATGCGCACCGCGGGGGCTTACGACCATTCTGCTTGTGCCATTCTTCGAGGATGTCAACGAGATGCTCGGGCATCGGTTGCTTTGGACCAAATTCTGGTATCGGGTTGATCTTAACTGTCCGACGAGAGGCCTGCTCATCAGTATCCAAGGCGGATAGTGAAGGTTTCCGCTCGTCGTCGGAGTGAATATCTATTGCGTCCGTAGAGCTAAGATGTCAGGTACAGATGTTAACGCGTCTGCTCTTACGTGTATGCATTCAATGCCATACGTACTGATCCGCCATGTTTGCGGTGAAGGTCAAAGGGCTTTGTCGGCTAGAGATCTTGGACGAAAATGCTGTGCAACCGGATAGAGAAGAAAGAGGATATATTAGGAGGAAACGAATGTACAAGAAAAAATGAATGTACTTGAGAAAAAGGAGAAAGAGTCGCTGGGTTCTGGCGTGGTACAAACTACAAACAAAGAAACTTGGGTGGTTTGCTTCTATTTCAGGTAGCTGCTCCAACTGAAAGCAAAAAAGAACGTCCTCTCAACAAAGAGCGTAACTGATTGGCCCAACTTAGTCCTGGTACCTTTTATTTATGGGGCTAGGTCTTGTGTCTGACGATCCTTCTAAAGGAACAAAATGGCGAATATTCTGCTGTTTTTTCCAGGACTGTAGAATGACATGTGGTAAAGTGGTTTCTTAGGTAGTTTGTCATTTTATCTGTTATTTTGTTATTTTCTCATTTTACCCTTAGATACAGTTAGCTTACCGTCTTGGAGATCAGTGGGGTTTCAAGCCTTGATATCCGATTAAGTTGATTTAAGTTACTCCTCCAGCTGATCCAGTTGGCCCAGTTCGTCTGCTTAGTAGTTAGTTTGGTTAGTCTGGTTGGCTAACGCACCACGGATGGATTTCGGCAAGCTACATACTAAGGTAAGGTAGTTCGTACTACGTAGCCAAGTAAATATCCCATAGCGTCTTTCGAAACTCACTAGGCACAATCTGCTGAAAAGTGAATTTGAGGTGCTTCGATCCTGAACAAGAGATTTGTTGTTGTTTACAAGAGACTCATGTCTAATATTTATATAGTCATCCATTATCCACCCTTCAAAAAACAGCATCTGAGTTAAGGTGATTATGTTGATGCACGACCGTTGTAAATCCACTTAGATACTTACTCATGGCTGACTGTAGTAGACTTACAGTAGATAGGTCCAGTTTGTCTTAGTGAGATGCAAGGGGCTTCTGTAGAAGACTGATCATGAACGAGCAGTGAGATCGATCACAATATTATGCCACTCCTATTCATTATTACTGTGATATTAAGCACCGCAAAAGAGGCCATGACCACCTTGGGACTTGAAGCATTCATGACGCAAGAGTCATCTATAAATTAAAACTTAGAAATATCAGCCTCAGAAGACGTCAAGTTCCCTCTAAATGTGATCAGGCAGATATGCTGAAAGTCTATTTCAAAAGCAAGCGGCCCAAATAAGGATAACAAAGGCAGTTTGTGAACAGGACAGGTATAACTGTAGTGATAGTACAAGCAAATGTCTAGGATGATCCAAACTGTATGGATGCAGGTAAGTGAGAGCAGGTGAGATTCATTCGGCTCACTTCAACATAATCTCGATGAGGCCGGCAGAAAAGAATACAAGCAAAAAAATATCATAACACAAGTGATGCTGTACAAACGCTCACAGATGATGGTCAATGAGTATGTCAGAGGATCGGAGAGAGTGTTTCAGTTAACAGAACACTTCCAACGAGCAGCGTCAATCGTCAAGGGCTTGCAATGTATGAGTAACTCAGGCGGCAAAACGTCAACAGACGGGTATCAAAAATGAAATGAGACAAGCAGATGTTGGTAATCCAGATGGGCGTGAGGAGATGGGCCCCTCGAGCTACGTCGAGGTCAACCCTTCTTTCTTCAATTGAACGGCTTCCTTTGCCGCCTGGATCGCGGAGTTTGCGTCATGTATACTATTTCTCCGACCCCAGTTCTCTGGTTGCCTTCTGAGAAATGCGCCAACAGCGCCAAGGTAGCCTTCATGGCGGAGGAAGTAGCCTTGTTTCTCACCCTTGGACCAGAATCGGATGGCATAAGACAATGTATTCATCGTCTGGTGATGGCCCCGAATAAACGAGCCTCCAAAGTATATGTGCTTGACCTGGTGCTTCTCAGATTGTAAGTAGGCAATCTGCCCGATGTTGTTACTGAATACTGTTAGCGCCGACTGCTCATTGGTGGGCCATTGACGACAAACACGAACATACCTGATAGCATACAGCAAGCTTCGGCTCATGTCTTCATGGCGAAACTTGACTTCACCATTTTGTTTCTCAGAGCCGCCATTACAGAGGCCTTCCCCATCCTCCGCATGCCGCTCGGCAGCATTCTGTAAACGAAGCACCTTGCCAAAAGTGCTAGCGATGGCAGTGCTCTTAAGTCCGATCTTGCTATAGTCCATGCCATAGATATCGCCAACTAACATGTCCACCCCACTGTTGTCGCCCCGGTCCGCCATGGCCAGCATGTCGTCAAAGGTCCGAGCGCCGGTCAGCAACGACATCAGGCCCCAGAATGTGCCACCGCCAAGGTGAGTACCACCCACACGCTCAAATTGCTTTGGGCCGGATACTTTGATCATTGATACTCCTGAACCGATGTTGACTAATAGGTACGGGTAAACATCCGGTCGGGCCTCGGCAAACTGCATCGGCTCGGCTTCGCTGTAGGTAAACACTTCATTGGGAATCTCGGTAATGAAGAAGTCAAGGCCTGGGGCAGAATTAGGTGAGTATTCGCTTCTGAAATGCGAAAATTGAGATAATCCAGTAAACTAACCTGTTATGAGGCATTCCATTTCGTCTTCCCGTATGATGTTCACGTTCAGCGTCTCTTTCAGCTTATCGTAGTACTTGTAGGCGCCTCCTCCCGTAGCAACGACACACAGCTCATCTCTAGAGGGGCCATTGAGTCTCTCATGTTCCTCTTTCAATTGCCGGATGAAGTCAATGCACAAATCGATCCGGTGAGTCTCGAAATTGATGAAATTCAGGCGACCACCGTTGTAAGGAGAGTCCAATTCTCTGGTAAAATATACGAGTTTCGCGAGCGAGCCTCCAATCTATAAATTTTGCAAAAGTAGAAAGGTCAGAGAAATTTCCTTTTCATTTCGAGGTATGCGCGTGGTCGACTTATTTTTTGTTCGAGATTGCGGGGTGATGATTCTGCGGGGAACCGCGGAAAAAAAAGAGAGAGGCACTCACATCGACAGCGACATGGCTCACGAGGCCAGTATGATGAGGGAGACGGATATCCTGGCTCTCGTAGTGAACGCCGTCCGTTGATGACGCGGGACTTTTCGATCGAGGCTCTTCGTCAACAATGAAAGCACCTTTGACGTTAATCTTAACAGCTCCAGGGTTGGTGATAGCTCGTTCAAGCTGGACGGTTGATTCTGTGAATGTATTGGTCCTACGCCTAGGCGCGACCGCATCTGAGCCGACCGAATTGGACTTTGGGGAGGACATGGACATGGTGAAGTCTCAACAACTGTGAGAAAGGGGAGTGATTACAAGCTCGGTGTCATTATCCGCAGAAGCTTAAAAAACACTGGTGACTGCGGTCGCCATTTCGGAGTAAAGGGACGCCGTGATAACCACTACAGCGTATATCTCCTTCTGCCCGCTTTAGGTGGTTGAGGAGTGGAACCAAAGTTTTAGTAGGGTAGTACTCGATGGGGCGGAGCATCCCAGTCCTTACTTCCGCGGGTGCAACTGCCACCGAGCTGTAGATGGATATTGTCGGAGAGTTGCTGAATGTGAAATGACATTTGTGGCGATCATACAGAGTAGTGATGGATGTGTTATGAATGTGGTCATCTCCTTCCACTGCTAGTTAAGTGACGTCTAGGTATCGCTGATTGGTCTTTCATTGAAGGCCTGAGGCATCAAATCAGACCACCTACATTCCTGGCTTATTGGATTGCATAGGAACTTCCCAATCTAAGTCGGGATACCTCAGTTGATCCTAAGCAGCGTGGGAATTGTTTTCAGATTCGACGAGAATCTGATTTGCCTAACATTGTGGCTAAAAAAATAGTCCTTGTCGGTCTAAGTTGAAGCAACTGATGGCAGCAACATATAACTATAAGTGTTCGCCTCAGGATATATCGGAAGAAGCAGCTATCATGCTACCTCCAACAGATCAGGAACATTCATGATTCACACAAGATTTCTTGTCTGTTATATTCAGGTCCCAAGATAAGTCAAAGAATATATGCAATGAAGATATTTGGAGGCACAGAAAGACGAAGAGTAACGCCAATTGCTCTCGCCTGCAGGACTGAACACCGTACTTTGGTTTGCTCCGCTGTTTGCTGGAATACTAAGGCACCTGGTAGCAGACGCAGACCAGTCATAGGATTAGCTGTACGCATACGAGGAATACAGGCTGGATTCTCCTGGACTCTACCGTATTGAATGCAGATCGAAAATGTTGAGAAGAGCCAAAGACATACCAACCCGCAGGTAAACGAAACAGAAGGCTACCTGCATATCAGATGGAGGTTGTCAACGTTTGGCAGATTGACAGCTGCCCGATTTGATTATCTATTCTTTCCATCCTTCTGCTGCCCTGAATTCTTCTATGTATAATACCGATTGTCAGTGTAGCAGAAAAGTCTGCGGAAGCATCAACCAGCTATGGTGACTATGAGGAGCCTTCTATTCCTCTATTTCCTTATATTCGCAGTATTTCAGGATCTAGTACAGGGATTTGGCTCCCACTCTTTGAATGTTGCAAAGCTCACTGCGCTAGCTATATTCCTGACTTACACATTGCTTTCAACAACTTCCCTTGCCTCCTCCAGGTGCTCCATATCTTACACTCTAGTAGTAGCTCTATCTTCTTTCAGCCTGCAATGCTGAACAATCGTATTCAAACAGACACAGAGCACCTGACAGAAGAGAGACCCGCATCACCAGGACGCATCAGGTTGGGTGACGGGTCCGCTTAGTCGGCGACTCTGCTCTCTACTATTCCGGTAGCTTCTGTAGCTTGTGTTTGTTTTGATTTCTTCTATCTCCCATCCTTGTCTGAGAGAAATTTTATGTCCTTCTTTCCTCCTCATCTATCCTCTGTGAACAAGCTCATACAGTGCTCTACTCTCTGCGTGGTGATCATCATCAGTCTCCTGATAGTCTTCTAACTGTGACAGTAAGTGGTTTCTGCTGGGTGGGATTTCTCCCTTTGCTTTGTTTCGCTCAGTTGTCCCCTCTCCTCATAT